GTGATGATTTTTTTAGAGTTAAATATGTTTTAGTCTTTAATCTTATACGAAAAATTGAAATTTGTGTATATTTCAAATTTTGATATTCTTTGGTTTCAAAATTTTAAAAATGAATAAACATTGTATTTTAACTGAACAAAATAATTCTTTTTTACATGTTAAATGGTATTTTAGATTGACATTTAAGTTTAAACGGGTTAAATAAACAACTCAAACGATAATATAAAATGTCATCTAACACATCAAAACAGTTTTATGCAATTGGGTTAAAAGAGTCATACTTATTATTTTTAAAGTTTAAGAACCAAATTATATTAAAATTCGAAATATGAATGAATTGTAATTTTGAGTCCAAGTTTAGAGACTAAAAATATATATTTAATTCTTTTTTTAATTATTATTTTTAAAATTGATGTGTATTTGAGGATTTTGTGTAATGTTTTTAAGTTATATCTTTGTTAAAAGAACATTATTTGTTAAAAATGTAAATAAATTGAGTTATAATATAAGAGTTATTCCACACGACAATTTATTACGACAAGAATAAATATAGTGATGTATTTAAAATAAAGTAATAAGTGTGTTTTCATAAGTTGATGTAGAGGTTAGTTCATACATATAAAAAAACGTTTTGTGTAACATCCTAAAATATATCATAACACTATATCATAGATTAATCATATATAATAATAAGGTAGATCGGTTCATCAAGGGTTAGTAAAGTATTTAACATTTATCCAAAAGAACCATAAAACTAAAAACTTTACAAATCAACATAAGTCTGATACAAAAATACAGACATAAACCGAACGGTGATACAACAGTCTGTATAACCCGACCGGTTTACAAAAGATAAACTAAACCTATTGACCGAACGGTCCAGTCTAAAACTATACACACCCGATGACCGAGCAGTCTTAACTTAAGCAACAGGGTCCTCGCCTTCCAATTCTTGTTCCACCGAACACTCATCACCTTCTGCTCACATCCACAGGATGATCATTGCAAAAGAAAAGATAACCAAACAAACAAAACAAGACAACAAGAAAGTAGGGTAAACTAACGTAATTTAATTATAAACACATATATACAATTCATGCAAGTTCAATACGTACAAAGATGAACGATACATCATGTAACACATAATACATTTAGTCACATACAAATCGAACACCACCATTCATTATATATATATATATATATATATATATATAAACTGAACACTATGACTTGACCATCCGGATTGTATGAATATGTAGCTACAGTCGTCCTCGCACTTGTGGTAGTGTAACAGTTGACACCAATCAAGCTACTACCCAAGGTTAATCCCATAATACCTACCCGACACCCTGAGGTGGTACGACCTCCTGCTATTCTCACAAATGAAATACCTCTCTCTATGTGAGAATGATAGTCATAGAATTTCAGGATGAATGCCAGCTTAGCATATCCATATTCATACTTTACAATTCCATAACCATACACGAGACATTCCGCCTTGGAATTCTCTTCCACAGTATAAATAAGTCCAAAATTCTCATATTAAACATAATTTGTCATTCATCAATTATATTTTCATTCATAGAATAAAGAGGGCATGTGAACGTTAGAAACCAAACACTTTCCCACTACCCAACCGAGAGAACCGAATGCTTCGTAAGAGACAGAACAGAAGAAAATGACCGAACGCTATTATTGACCGATCGATATAGAAACTGACTACTAGGAACTTAATCCAGTCCTGAATAACTTACACTGCACACTCATAACTCAAATCGAACTCTAGTTTAGTATCAGAAAATTGTGATCAGACCGAACGGTCATACTTAGATAATACCTCTAATAGACCGAACACCTATAAATGACTGAGTACATAACACCGCCGAACGTTCAATCAAAGCAAAACTCTGAATAACACTTATTAAACCAAAACAAGACATTTTTCTTAATTTCTAAACTTCCAAACTTGATTTCTAAGTTATTTTAAACATATTCCACTGAACCTATTACACACTACTCACCACTCATATTTTCACATGCTCTCATTCCCAAACCAGAAATGACCACGTTCTACAACAGGCAAACCCAGTCGAGTTCACATGTATAGGCCTAACACATAATTTGAATACAATTCAATCAAACACACCATTATTCATACATGCAAGCGTCCACACATGAATTCCAAACACAGAAAAATATAATTAAATCACTAGCTTCCCTTACCTTGAATAAACTATGCACTACCTAAGCTTCCACCACTTGACTAACTAGCAACCACTTTCTAAAGCAGCCTACTACAATTCTGATCGGTGAAAAGGGACCAACCAAAGGATTAAAAACAGAAACAAGTTCAGAGAGAGATAGATGAAGAACACATGTAAGCTGCACAGTGCTTGCATGTTCCAGAAAATACCGAAACTTAAAAAAAACGAATGAGTTTACTTACCCACTTCACACAACAAATAGATTGATGGAAAAAAACTTCTTGCCACCAAGGAAGAACTCACACATAACCTAAATGATGATTAGAAGAAGGAGAAAGTGAGAATTTTTAGAGAGAAGAAGGAGAACTGTAGAGAGAAGGAGGAGAAACTCAGAAAGTTGGGAGAGAAGAGGTGCATGCAAAAGTGGCTCAACGTTTGAAAATTTTGCTTATATACTATCGTCAAAAACTGATCGGTCAATCAGCTACACACACCTGTCTTCCACTTTCTGAATTTTCTAAACCCTTTCACCAACACCTGGTTTCCACTCACAGCTGAAATTAATGGTTCTGACATTTTGTAATGATATTTCTTAATTAATAATTTCGTTTTTATATTTAGGCCTAAGGTTTATTTTTGTTTTCTATATATTTTTTATTTAATTGAGTTTTAATGTTTTTTTATTAGAGTCAATTTGATTCATTAGGTTAAATTTACATTTGGAAGGTGTCATGTGTCAAACTAGATGAGTCATAAAGTATAAAATGACACATGACACATTTCAAATTATGTTAACACCTATTTAATAAAAGAGATACATTATTTTAAGAAAATCAGAAAATCACAATAAATCTTTTTTAAATAATAAGAACTCAATTAAATAAAAAAAATTATAGAAAATAAAATAAACCCTAAATATATAAACTAAATTACTAATTAATTTTATTTTATTTGTAAAGTTGAAGTTGTTAAATAAACTCTAAGATGACTTCAAAAGATTGTATGAGAGACCTGTGTAACTATATCGAAATGTTCTAAATATTGTAACCTTGCAATGTAATTAAACTAAAACATCACTTGATAACAATCTACATGTTGCAAGACATACATTTAACATAACCTTGTAGAAAAAAATTGCAAAAGTTTATCTCGAAATATATGCATTGATGCATTCTGTAAATTAGACTTAATATTTTTTAATATAATGTATTTTATTAGAAAATATTAATTTAGAATTATAAATATAAGTAATTATGTATTAAATTTTAAATTTTGAATAATTATGAATTAAATTTGAAGATTTAAACCTTTTAGAAGCAACAAACACAAAAAAAAAGTTAAGACTACATATAAAATTTATAAATTGTAGTGTAATGATTTTAAGTTATATCTTTTTTAGAAACATTATTTGTTGAATATGTAAATAAATTGAGTAATATGGGTCATTTGACATAATAAACAATTTATTAAGATAAGAACAAAGTAATAAGTATGTTTTGATAAGTTGATGTATAGCTATACATATGCAAGTAATTTGATTTTCATATTTACGTTTATAATTTATTTTGGTTCCAATTCAACGAAAGAGATAAATTGAATTTTTTTAAAAAAATTAAAAAATTATAATGAGTTTTTAAAAAAATAATAAGAACTAATTAAGTAAAAAAAAGTTAGAAAATAAAAGGAATATAAAAATCTAAATATATAGACTACATTATTAATTAAGTTTTTGTAAAGTTGGAGTTGTTAAATAAACTTGAAAATGGACTTTAAAAGATTGCATGAGACTTGTATAACTATTGGAATGTTCTAAATAATCTAGATGTTGCAAGACATACGTTTAACGAAACCATGTAGAAAAAATTGCACTGTGTAGATTAGACTTAATATTTTTAAATATAATGTATTTTATTATAAAATATTAACTTAGAATTTAAATATAAGTAACTATGAATTAAATTTAAATTTTTGAATAATTATGAATTAAATTTGAAGATTTAAACTTTTTGAAGCAACAAACACAAAAAAAAAAAAAAAGAGTTATGACTGCATATAATTTTTTTTATAAATTGTTGTGTAATGATTTTAAGTTATATATTTGTTAGGAGTATTATTTATTTAATATGTATATAAAGTGAGTCATTTTGCATAATAGATAATATATGAAGACGAGAATAAAATATTAAGTATGTTTTGATAAGTTGATGTATAAATTATATGTATATAAAAATATTTATAAATTTTTAATTAGTAAATTTTTATTATATATTTACATTTATTATTCACTTTGATTTTAATATATTTTTCACTCGATTAAATTTTAAATTGTTTTAATAAAGTTAATTTGGCTCATTTCATTAAATTGATATTGACAATATTTAGAAGGTGTTAGACTCAATTGATTATATTACAATTTTTATTTTTGAATATATAATATATTTTATTTTAAAAAATAATTTAGAACTATAGATCTAAGTAGTTATGAATTAAATTTAAAGTTTTGAATAATTATGAACTAAATTTGAAGATTTAATCTTTTAACAAGCAAAAACTTGGTTGGATTAGTTGATCCATTATCAAAATTTAACAAAACAAAAATCGTGAACAGCAGGATTCGAACCTGCGCGGGCAGAGCTCACATGATTTCTAGTCATGCCCGATAACCACTCCGGCATGTCCACTACTTTGTTAAGTAATATCCAACTAATATATATAAAACTAATGCTACAAAAATTTACTATTATTCTGGAAAAAAAATTGGCCGGAAAAACTTTGGTTGCAGCAGCTTTGGAATATAGCTTCTGGTCACTTCATTCTCCAGTGAGTTATTATTTGGATATTTTCTCGAGAAAAATTAGCTTTTCCGGGAAAGTCAAGCCGCTCCTGTAATTCCAATTCCGAAAAGGGTAAGCGAGCTCCATCCTTCTTCTTTTTCATTTTTTTTAGATTTTCGTAGAGGACATTCGATTAACTGATCACTAGGTTAAATTCGCGGATTGAAAAGGCGAAAAAAAAAATTAAAGCAACTTGCTCGATCTTGGCGTTCTCGATGCAATCAGATTCGCTATCGGAAAAGGTTTTGGTGCTGACGGAGGAGGAGGGGGAAGAAGAAGAGGAAGATTGCGCAAGCGTTAGCGTAGTGATTGTTGGTTCCCGATGATTCCTCCGAGGCGGAAGAAATGGACCGAGGCCGAGGAGAAAACCCTAATCGACAAATACGGGGAGATGGTGGCGGACGGTTCGCTGGCGAAGATGCGGACTCGCGAGAAGAAGTTCAAGCCGATTGCTTGTCACGTGAATTCGGTGCACCACGTGCGCGATCCTGTGGCGTACCCTTGGCAGTGGAGTTGGAAGGACGTTTCGACGAAGGTGCAGAACATGAGGCACCAGTATCTACTGGTGAAGCAGAAGATCAAGAGGCCTGAGTTTTCAGGGTCCGGAGGCGGTGATTGTGATGATGGGAGTGAGTTTGATTGGGTGGAGGGGCTTACTCATTGGTCTAACTTTCTAAGGTACAAGGATGTGTTTGGGGATGTTGCACTTGTTGTTGGTGGTCATGGTGGCAATGAGTTGATGGCAATCGAGGATGGGGATCACGGGGATCACCATGAGGATCATGGGGATGGTTTTCTTGCTGGTGGTGGGGGGATGGACATGGTTGAGTTTGGGCAGATGGGTCATTCTGGGGATGGGGATTTTGGGGCTGCTATGGATGGTGTTGACAATGAGGTGATGGGATTGGGGTTTGAGTATGAGGCAGAGGAAGGGGAGGTGAATTACAATGGGAGTGGTCGGGAGAGGGAAGATGCGGCGGAGAATGGTTTTGTGTTTGAGGAGGAAGGGGAGGTGAATGGGTCAAGTTTGAAGAAGAGGAAGGTGGTAAAGGGGATGGAAAGGAAAGTGTGGCGGATTCTTGGTAACCAACTGGGGCAGTTAAGGGAAATGGAAGCGCGGTTTGAGCAGCGTGAGGTGGAGAGGGAGCGTGAGAGGCAGAGGAGGGAGAACTTGCGAGTGGAGCTTGATAAGCAGTGGGAGAAGAAACTGGAGGAGAGGGAAAAGGAGAGGGAGGAGAGGGACAAGGAAAGGGACAAGCTTAGGAGGCAGACAATGGCGGAATGGGAAGCTATGGAGAAGGAAAATGAAGAGATGGAAAGAAAAAGAAGAGAGGAAGAATTGATTCATGAGAGGGAATGGGAGGAAAGAATGAATTGCAGGAGGCTAGAATGGAAGAAGAGGGTTGACGAGATGCTAAGCCAGCACCGAGCAGAAATGGGCCAGATGCAGACTCGGTTTCTTCATGAGCAACAAAATCTTACTAGCCAATTGCTTGGTCTATTCTCTCAATGGCCTGCCCAACCTGCTGGCCTATCTGATCATACGAGTGCCAGCAACCATTATCTTTCACAAATGATGCAAAATTTGCATCATGTGAATGGAATTGTTCATGGTGACACTAGGGTCGAGGGAGATAATCAAGAAGATCAATTCATTGTTGATGGATGATGTATCCCTTCTGCCATTTTGCGCATCTCTCTATGCTGGGGAATCCGGAAACATTTCTGTCACAAGAAGTGTCAAAAAAGTGCACATAACTGTTGAATGCATTTTTCATTGTACTTTCTTCAATTAAGTATGATTGTATACCTTGTAGTTTATAATATTTTAGTGTAACTAATTGATATAAATAATGCTCTTCATTTCTTGTTTTTCTCTGTACCGAACCATGAAGCCGAGTTTAAAGGTAACGGTTGTTGTCCAATACATGTTTTAATGCTTCTATTCACACTTTATATAATTTGAAGCCTATAATATGTTCATGCATTCAAGGATTAATTTTCTTTTTCATTTTTAATGTGCTATTCAGCCCTTTATAATGCTTAATGAAACAGCAGATGATGTCTAGACTTGTTCGTCCTTTGTTACTGTTTCCTGTTACACTTTAACCGAGTTCATATCCTGTATTGTATCCAAATTTTAACCATAAGGCAATCTTGCCCTTGTTTAACCCTTGTGCATGTGTCAGATGTGTATTAAAGGGGTTCTCATAGAGTAATGAAATTGAGAGGTGTATTTAGATTTGCATTTAATTGTCCTTTTCCTTCCTTACCTTTATACATAGTTAACTTGTACACTGCCATGTTCTCTTTGTAATCGTTAGTTACTGGTGTTCTTCATATTTGGATTCTCTTGTGTTGATTTCTAGTTTTGTTTTGCAAGATTATGGTGAGGAGCCATGAATGAAGTTGATTGGTAACTTAACTAGAAACTTTTGTATAATATTTTTTAAATTGATATAGCTCATCTCGTCGTACCCTAACAGAATATACTATCTCAGCATTCACCCTTGTTATACCAATACCCAAGTCAAGTGATTGGGGCTGACTATTAGCAAACAATACCTATTCATAACTATCTGTCCCGTCTACTGGAGTTTCACATTCTTTGCTAGTTGTTTAACTGCAAGACACAATTGTTTTATTTTACAGTTACTAACATCAACTATTGGTATCGACTTTTAACTTGCAACCATGTTTATCCCTGTTAACTCGAACATCTCAAAAATATAGCACACAACTATATATAGGTGTCAACGTTTAATAATATGATAGAACAGTTACTACGATATTAAAGTCAAACTTACAGTTATTACAAAAATAATCATAAAATTTTTTGAACTTTACAAGAGCTTCCTATACTATTATCGAACGTTCATTATATAACCGAACGATTATATTTACAGAACAAAATAGTGAACAGTCGTTTCACCAAAACTATCTATACTATATGATCGAACGATCATCTCCTATTCAGCAGGAGTCTCACCGTCCAGCTCCTGTTCCAACGTAAGCCCTTCTCCTTCTGCTCACATCCAACAAGGATGATCATTGCAATAGAAAACCGAATGGCAACATGGATAAAAACATAAAATAAGGTTAAGCTATTATAATTCAATTAAGCATGCATTCGTACATGAAATAAAATTATAAATCATTACAGACCGAACGCTATAGCATACAAGAACCAACGTAGATATCACACATAACTTGAATATCATAATTTTCGTACGACTGACACTTGACTTGACCATCCGGATTGTATGAATACGTAGCTTGAGACCGTTCGTGCACTCGGGTGGTGGAGTAATTGGAAAACCATCAGCTGCCACCCGAGGTTAGTCCGTTATAACTCACCCAAGAACCTATGGGCTAGGACCTCCCGCCATTCTCACACAATGACTTACCCATCTCTACTTGAGAACTGGTAATCATCAGAATATCAGGATGAACTCCGTGAATTTCACTATCTGTATTCATACTTTACCACAACATTATCCTTGCACTGAGACATTCCTCCCCGGAATTCTCTTCCACATTACTTGAAACATAAACTTTTACTTGAATACCAATAATACTTCCCATACATAATAGATCATTGCTGTAATAAACAACCAACACCAAGCCATAACATCAACATTGAAAGATCAAACAACATTTCACATAAGAAGATTGAACGCTCAAATAACACCACCCTTAATTACCAACAAACAGAAAGGATCTAAACAACAGACGAATATAACTAAACGTTTATTTAATAGATATGACTTTGACATGAGCCGAACACAACTTAAGAATAGAACACTCTAATTAAACCAAATACTTAATATAAGACCGAACCATATTTAACTATCCTCAATACTAGAACGAACGTTATTTCACTATCCTCAAAGTAATAACGAACGATATTCTACTATTCTCAAAACAAGAACGAACGCTATTTCACTATCCTCAAAGCAATAACGAACGATATTCTACTATTCTCAAAACAAGAACGAACGCTATTTCACTATCCTCAAAGCAATAACGAACGATATTCTACTATTCTCAAAGCAATAACGAACGATATTCTACTATTCTCAAAACTAGAACGAACGCTATTTCACTATCCTCAAAGTAATAGCGAACGATATTCTACTATTCTCAAAACAAGAACGAACGCTATTTCACTATTTGACAAAACCGAACGCTTAAAGCTTATACTGAACACTTATAATTACTCTTACAAACTATTCATCAAACCTAATACTTTTAAGAAAACCGAACGTTAATACCTTTTAGCTGAAATACACCTAAACTGGTATCCGATCATAAACGAACGTATTTTAAGCCTAGTCCCATTACGAAGTCTACTAATAATAATATATGAGCTATCACAAACTAAAATACCTAATCCAATAAGACTGATTATAAATATATATATAACCACCAAAGCTTAATATATTTATCACTCCCTATAAACTGAACTATTATACCCTGGTAAGGCTAGACTGCTAACTCTATTGATAACTTATTCCCTGACCATAACCGAACGGTTGAGACCGAACACCCAACTATTTTACATAATTTTTGCAGAATCCTTATAGACTTATACAGAACCACCAAAAACCCAGAAACATGCATTTCATACACTCATATACAAATCATCAATCAATTCATTCCATACATACACAAAATCATCACATGCATAATTAAATTTAATAGCTTCCCTTACCTCTTAATAGAACGATCACTCACAATACAAACTTTGCACCACGACCAACACTCAAACGCCCAGATTCACTGTTTAGAGAAACGAACCAACCCAAGGACTGGAAATATGATCAGATTTGAAGGAAAAGAAGAAGACAACTACATGCAACCAGAAACTAAACTTGCATGTACCCAAAAACTAGATTTTCTTAGAAGTAAAAGAACCTACCGATTCAAACCACTAAACGATCGGTTGAAAAGAGGATCCTTGCCACCAACAACCTTACATACACTCTGATGGATGATCAGATGGAAGAAAACGTGAGAATTAATGGAGGAAAAGATGATAATTTTAGAGAGAAGTTAGAGAGAAGGAGGAGAAACGAGTTCAGAAGGTTTGGAGGAGAAGATTGCATGCAGAAAGTGGAACCAACTTTTAAAGTTTTAGATTATATATTCCCTCAGCAACTGATCGTCCACTCTCCTGCAGTCACCTGTATTCCACTTTCTGAGTCTCATTCCCCTCTTGTAGACACACGTTTCCCACTAAGATGGGAAATTTAATGGTTCTGACATTAACTGTTGGCTAATGATAACTTTTGGTCTTCTGCCGTATTATCCTAACTTTCGTATACTTTTTGGGGTAGAAGTTTCCATTATTTTTAAAAGTATACACAAACATGTCAGTTTGGGTAAAATTTCATAACAAGCATTTATTGATGAAGAAAATTCATTGAACTTAGTTTTTTCAAGAAGTTAGGCGAGAGAGCTTGAACTTGTTAGAAAGTTGAGGTAAGTTAATTTTATATTAAAGTAACAAGTTATTTTATGTACATAGTTTCTTATGCAGGTAAACATATATGCTGTTAACTTGTAATAAATGATAAAAATATACTAACTCCCAATTCCTAACCAGAATATAGTTTGCGAGAGCTCCACCTGAAGGCCGTGGTTATTATTTTGAGATCAGTTATGCATACTGAAAGCCCCACCAGAAGATTTAATAAATTTCTTTGGCTTTACAATTTTTGGTTGCGACAAGGGAATTCCGACAATTGGCCAGCTTTGTGGTGTTATTTTTTAACGAACTTTTTCATAAAGGATTTTTAAGAGAAAAAATAAATTAACTATTTTAGAAGTTAATTTAATTTATAGAAATTGTGTTTAATTTATTAAAAAAATTAATCTTTAACTTGGAGATAAACTAGTTTTAACCTGTGGGAATTTTATTTATTTTATTTTATAATTTTTTCTTGAAAGTCTTTTTGAAAAGGATGATTCTGGAAGGACTAACTCTCTTGTTATCTCTTGCTATGGTTGGCATTGTATTAACATGAATGACACGCATGTCCATATAAAGCAGCTTGATTTTCTGGGCAGACAGTGAGATTTATCTCTATTTCAAGAATTGAAGAAATCACCGCGACTGGTTTTGATTTATCTCTGACTGTTTGAAGAAGTTGAACAAAGCTCCCGATGCAGAGTGCAATTTTGGAGACAAAGTAGCAGGAGCAGCAGATACACATTCAAATACACTAAAGCAACTTTTTGGTAGCTTTTTAGGATTTCTTTTCAGGCCTTTTCAAAACATGTTGGAAATGTTTTTGTATACCTCAGCAGAGGAAAGGGAAAGGGGGAGTTACATACATTTTATTTTTTCTAAGTTTTCTGAAGCAATGGAATTCCCTTGAGCTTTTTCTTAGTTCCATGCTATTTTCCATCTCAACAATGACACAATATTAGTCTTTAGTAGCTTTATTCATTGCATTAACGTCTATCTACTATTCCTTTGACTTGAGTTCAGCAATTAGTACAATTTCTTTATTCTTTAGTTTAGCTCAATCATTGTTTTTAAGTTTAACGTTCAACCCAGTTTCCTTGAGCAACTTCATTAAAGCCATTTTCCACTAAGTTAACGTTGAAACCGTTTCCACTATCAGGTTCTTATTCTAGCTAGTTGCTGTTTTTTTTTTCTTTTCCATTTAGTGTGCTATTTTAATTTATTTAGTTAATCCTATGCTTGTTGTTTGTGCTTGTTGTCCGATACAACTGTTTTTATCTTGCTTGCTGGTTCTTCATCCATGTTACTCTCGGATTTCGTTCATCTTTCCTAGTTATGCTTTGATCTCTTGTGTGTTCTCTTATGCTTGTTTACTTCTACTAAAGAAGCTCTAATCCAGTGTTTTCCAAGTTCTTAAACTTCATTTTCAGTCACTATTGTTGCACTGGCACT